TATCTATCTATCTATCTATCTATCTATCTATCTATCTATCTATCTATCTATCTATCTATCTATCTATCTATCTATCTATCTATCTATCTCAGGGATGGGTAACTGGTGGACCGTGGGCCAGATATGGCCTGCCAATGAGGGCCACAGAACGGTCTCTGTGTTCATTTTTTGTTTGATTTGTTTTGTGGACAGAGTTCAGCTGTTATAGCTACATGCATTTGAGCATGAAATATGCAAAAGTACTGCACTGTATGTTGGTTTACATTTTATATACACACACATTTATTTTTAAAATGGTAAGTGTGCTGTGTGGCCCCCTGTGTCAAAAACTGTGGCCCCTTCCATTACTTGAGTTGTCCATCCCTACGGCTCTCCCCATCTTTTGCAAATAATATAACATTTCACATGTAACTTCACTGCGGGAAACCAATAAATTGATGGCAATATTTTTTTTCTTATATTTAAAGAAGTGTGTCCTTGTCAGCTGCAAGAACCTAAAATGAACGGTTTAAATGTGGCTGTAGTTCGGAAGAAAAACGGATAAAATTTAAAATGTTGAAAATATCTAATGTACACTAAACCTTGAGGGTTTTTTTTTCTAACCCGTCTAATGAAGTGCTCCAGTGCCTCCAGCTGCGCACGCGGACAGAGGCGGTGGCGGGGATGGGGAAGCGCGCTGCCCGGTGGAGGGGTTGAGACTGGATCATCACACTTTCTTTCCTGGCGCACGTCGATCTGGGCCATGGATGGGATGCAAGGAGAGCTTTTCACTGACAAGGTCTCAGAAATGTGAGAATTAGAAGTGGAGCTGAGGGGGGACTTGTAAAAAAGGGGGGGATTTCAAAGAGCCCGCCTGCGTCAAAGTCTGGGGATGATTTGAGGAGCCTGCGTTTAAAACCCGACATCACAGGCAAAATGAGAATCCAAATAACTTGTGGGAATTAGACATTCGCAGGCGCATGATGCGATTAGAACGCCTCTGAAGCATGTATGTGAACACCTGAGATTTTTATTCTTTATTTTTTTGAGAGAGATCGGTTTGTGTTCACTGTCGACCTGCCGCCAGAACTGATTTGAAGAGAGGAGTTGTCTGTTGGGGGCTGTGTCGGACTGCCGCGCCTTTACGCACTCCCTGGAGTTCATGTTTTGGACTGGAGGGATCGCGTTAGGACACCAGTTTCACGCCCAGTTTGTCCCAATTTCCAGGGTTCTGCTGAGATCTGTCAGCCGTGTGTGAGAACAGAGATTATCGTCTGTCAGTGTTCATCACAGCCTCGACAGAGTGTCTGCGGCGCCCCGAGATCCAGAGGAGCGACAAGCCGATCGTTCTCTCCACGACCAGACAAGGAACGCTCCGGATCAACTTGAGAAGTGAAGTTTTAAGGCTGGAATGTAAAAAAGAAAACGGAGGATTCGTGCTGGACACAGGACAAGCCGCGCATAGACCTCCAAAATGTTTAAAAGGGGTAAGTCTCAAGTTTCAGTCATGGTTTCTGCGGGATTTTGGACATGCCGCGTCGCTAATGAACCCACAGCCCTCTCCGGGTTCTGAGCAGATGTCTCAAACATGACGCGCTCATCAGGCACCTGCCCTGCAGATGTGTTAGATTACAGACGATGCGCCATTCCAGGCGCATCTTTCATTTGCACAACCGGCTCTGGAAGGTCTCTGGGAATTAAATATTCATCCGCGTGAGGAAACATAGGGACGACTGTGTGATATTAATCCAGCTGATGCCGCACTGCAGTTTATGAGTTATGCACAGGTCATAATCTCTGCTGGAGCGTTTTTTTTCCTGCTGTGTTTGCCCGCACATTTCAATATGATGGAGATAACTGCAGCACGTGAGGCTTTTCTCACTTACAAAACCAATAAACAGCTCATGTTATAAAAAATACCCCCCCCCCCATAACTTTTAATATCTGTACTCTCCATACTCTTACTTTTTTCTCCCTCTCTGTCTCCAGAACTGTTTCTTTCATTCTGAATTTTAATTGGCCATAAGAGCTGCAGAACTGTATCTACTGTAGAGTAAAGCCTCTAATGAGAATGAATTACACTACTACACATTCCCACTGTGCTATTATTGAGGGATTGAAATAAAAGTGAAATTAAACTGTTTCTCATTTTACTGTGTCTCCTTGATACCCCTCAGGGATATGGAGACACCCCCCCCCCCCCACCCACACACACACACACACACACCAGCTTCCACTTCCAGCAGCCATGCTTGGTTTTATGTGCTCATCAATGGCATGACACAGAACCAACCTGCTCTTTAGTTATTTTATGCTATCTATATTGGATAATAGCTGCAAACGGTGTAGTAAAACCTTCACAAAGCCATATGCACACAGGGATTTATCTACAATGGAGGTTATCATAAAGCACTGGCAACTTGTGTTTGTTTTTATTTATTCTGTGTTGTAGGTTGAGGACAAATCACATGTTCAGAGTGTTTGTTTTTGTTTTTTTGCCTTCAGGGACTCGGGGAAAAGCATGTTTTCTATCGCTGCCATCGGATTGATTATTGCCGTTCTAACAGTTGAGATAAAGCACACCATGACTGCTTAAAGCAATATAGCACCTCAGAGGGGAGGTTTAATCTGTAAAACTGCATCCTGACAGCTGCTCAAAAGGGCCAGCACAAACTCTGGTCTTTTAGCAGAACTGTTACACG